TCACCTAAGGTGGGTCATTTGTCTTAGCCTCTCGAGGGTTTGTCCCCAAAGCAAGTTCCTGTATTTAGAAGTAAGTTGATAGTTTGCTTGTGAATCCCTCTCAGCAATAACTATAAAAGGTAAATTTGTGATATGTGAGAGACTTGTTTGCTTCTTTCCTGATCTGGAACATTTCTAGAAAAGAGTTCACTTAGCCCTGCCAGTGTGACTCCTTGGTTGAGCATCAGCCTATGAACCAGGAGGTCACAGTTCGATTCCCAGTCAGGGCATATGCCTGGGTTGCAGGCTCAACCCCTAGTGGGGGACGTGCAGGAGGCAGCCAATCAGTGATTCTCATCGATATTTCTTTTTTCTTTTTTTTTTTCTTTTTTTTGCTGGTTTTTATTTTTTTTTTTTAATTAAATCTTTATTGTTCAGATTATTACATTTGTTCCTCTTTTTTACCCCCCATAACTCCCCTCCTCCCAGTTCCCACCCCACCCTCCGCCCTCACTCCCCACCCACTGTCCTCATCCATAGGTGCACGATTTTTGTCCAGTCTCTTCCCGCATCTCCCACACCCCTTTCCCCCCAAGAATGGTCAGTCCATTCCCTTTCTATGTCCCTGATTCTATTATAATCACCAGTTCATTCTGTTCATCGGATTATTTATTCACTTGATTCTTAGATTCACTTGTTGATAGATGCATATTTGTTGTTCATAATTTATATCTTTACCTTTTTCTTCCTCTTCCTCTTCTTAAAGGATACCTTTCAGCATTTCATATAATCCTGGTTTGGTGGTGATGAACTCCTTTAGCTTTTCCTTATCTGTGAAGCTCTTTATCTGACCTTCTATTCTGAATGATAGCTTTGCTGGATAAAGTAATCTTGGTTGTAGGTTCTTGGTATTCATCACTTTGAATATTTCTTGCCACTCCCCTTCTGGCCTGCAAAGTTTCTGTTGAGAAATCAGCTGACAGTCGTATGGGTATTCCCTTGTAGGTAACTGAGTTTCTTTCTCTTGCTGTTTTTAAGATTCTCTCTTTATCTTTTGCTCTTGGCATTTTAATTATGATGTGTCTTGGTGTGGTCCTCTTTGGATTCCTTTTGTTTGGGGTTCTCCGCGCTTCTTGGACCTGTAAGTCCATTTCTTTCACCAGGTGGGGGAAGTTTTCTGTCATTATTTCTTCAAATAGGTTTTCAATATCTTGCCCTCTCTCTCCTTCTGGCACCCCTATAATTCTGATGTTGGTACGCTTGAAGCTGTCCCAGAGGCTCCTTACACTATCCTCGCATTTTTGGATTCTTTTTTCATTTTGCTTTTCCGGTTGGGTGTTTTTTGCTTCCTCGCATTTTTGCGCTCCTCTGGTCTGCTGTCGGGAGTCTGTATAATATTCGTTATTTCAGTCCGTGTATGCTTAATTTCTAGTTGGTTCCCCAATATAACATCGAGGATCTCATTAGTTTTCTTGTAGATCTCATTAAGTTTATCGGCGGCTTCTAAACAGTTCTTGAGAGACCTTAAAAGTGTGGTTCTGAACTCTATATCTTCCATTGACAATTTTGTCCTGTTTCTTTGTCTCCGCATTTTGTTATGCTTCCTTGGTGCACCCCCTAGTGGTCTTTGTTCGCAGTCTTATAGTTAAACCTTGATTGTTGTAGCTAATACCAGGGAGGGTTTGACCTCCAGGCCAAGTGGCTATGAGAATCAGCTGTGTCAGCAGTGAGAGAACTTCTGTCCTCTAGGGAGGTGCTAAACTAGCCTTTGCCTGAGGCTATCCGGCAAATGCCTCTGTGCAGTGCTTGGGCAGGGTGGGTCGCACAGGATCAACAGGGTGGGCCGGAGAGAGCAGTTATGGTGGCTCTCAGTCCTGTCCCCAGGGGCTCTGCCTCTCTGAGTCCCAGCACCCGCTGCAAACCTCGGAGAGAAAGCTGCACTCGCTCTGACCGAAGCCAGACAGTCCCGCTTCTCCCGTTTGAGTCTGGGTCCCTAAAGACTCTCCTGTATCTGGAGCTCAGAGTCTGCGACTCCCTCCCGGTTGAAAACGCCAACCGCGCCCTCCGCCACCAGCCCGCTCCGCGCACTCCGCACCTCAGAATTTGACTTCAGCACTGCGCCTCCTCTGAGTGTCCGTATGCGTTTCTCTTTCCTCCTAGTTGTAGGACTTCCACTCAGCCAGCGTTCCTGTGGTTCTGGGTGATGTCCGTTCCGTCTTTTAGTTTCACTTTTGAAGTAGTTGTTCAAAGCAGCAAACTCCAGCGTTAACCTATGCCGCCATCTTGGTTCTCCTCTCATCGATATTTCTATCTCTCTCTCCCTCTCCCTTCCTCTCTAATATCAATAAAAATATATTTAAAAAAGAAAAGAGTACACTTATATTTTTTATTTGAGACATGCATCAAAAAACATAGCACAACCTTTAAGCATCTGATTTACTGACCTTATTACCCCCTTCTTGCAAGAGTACTTTCTCTGGCCCTTCTGCCCCATTCCCTGCAATTATAAATCATGATTTTAGGAGACTGTTGTAAGGCCCTTGTATACCAAGGCTCCCCTCATCTAATGCACTGAAATTAATGCTCATTCCTCCTCTACTCTGGGTGTACCCCCACTCACACCATCTGACCTTTGGGAAAAGAAAAAATCAACAGATTGATTTCAGCCACAATTGTCTTATCACAACTGCTTTCCTTTAAGTGTGAATACCAAGTCATATTTAACCTATGACCTCTAGGAGGGACTGAAGCCATCGCTTCTCTTCTGGGAATGCGAAAACCTCTGTGGGAAAGGATGAAGGCACCACGCTCCAGCCCCTGATTTGAAGGAAAAGGATTGATTAGGAGCAAAGGGAAAAGACTGGTTTTGCCATCTCCATGGATAGTCAGCAGTGAAGCTGGTGGAGGGAAGAGGACATGAATTTCTTCAGGGCTTCTGCCAGATGTACATGTGCAAGGAAGAGATTATCTCAAGGCCGAGCAACCATGTTCTAGAGGACTAGTTTAGAGATTCATATACAACACTGGGCTCTTTTTTTAGAAGGTTCCTCAGTTAGACTAGAGATGTAAGAAACCCTGGCCAATTCTGACATTTGGAGTTGAGTTAGGCAGGGCATAGGAGGTTCTTCATGCAGCAGCTGTGGGGTAGTCTCGTGCCTCAAACCAGAGCCAGTTCATCTCCGACAGACACCGGTTCACCCTCAGGACATTGCAGGGCCATTCTGGCAGTGTGCCCGGGCACGTTTGTTCAGCACCGCAGCACCGGGAAATCCTTCATAGCAGGGTTCTCTGTGTGTCGGTATGCTAAGAACACATGCTATTCTAGATTCTGTCCTGGGGAAGGCCTTTCGAATAAATACCCAAGGTGCGTGGTCGAGCAGTACCAAATCCAGGACTTCTTATGACTCGATTTGTGTACATGCGTACATGCAGTGGGCCCTACTCAATTTTTACTTCTTTTTGCTTTTTTAAATCTCCTATCATGCTAATCAGAAAAATAACTTGTATCACCCTGAATTCACTTTTGAGTATTACTTTCTAACTCACACTCTTCATCTGGTCTCTTTTGTCTCTTCCATCAGTCCTTACAGACAGATAAAGGCAGATGAAGTTCATTCCTATTTATTGATTAAAACCTGAGGAGGCTTAAAGGGAGAAACACCATATTGACTAAAATTCCAGTTGCGGATTCTCTACTTCATGTCATTTTCAAAAGCCCTGACAACCTTTTCTTGAAGTCCCAGATGCAGGTCCCTGGTAATAATAACAACACTTACCATTTATAAGATTGCATCATGCCAGGCATTTTCTATACATCTTTTTTTTTTTTTCCAATCTCTCCAATTATTTGAATGTTGGTACTCTTTTTAAACTGAGATCTGGAAAAGTTGTGGTGCAGTGACATCAGGACTCAAACCCAGGTCTTTCAAATTCTGAAATCGACGTCCTTCGTCTTCCACGGCCCTACCCTATCTGACTAACATCGTGTAGACCAATGAACAAAGAGACTGGAGGCTTTCTTTCACCTTCAGCTCAAACCCTAGCCATAGCTGAGCTGCCCCTGGGAAAACAGTAGCTTTGGAAAGATGTAAGCTGTTGAAAGGAGATGCTCTTTCTTTGAGGAATGGAAATAAACTATTTAATGGAGATTTGCATAAGGTAGAAAGAAATCAGGTAACTGTGTGTTCAAGATTCCCCTCTGCCTTACGTTCTACACCTTATTGCACCTTTAAACATTGCTTTTATTTAGATGAATTCATAGTGTTCTCGCCCTAGCCCGTTTTGCTCAGTGGATAGAGCGTCGGACTGCGGACTGAAGGGTCCCAGGTTCGATTCCAGTCAAGGGCACATGCCTGGGTTGCAGGCTCGATCCCCAGTAGGGGGTGTGCAGGAGTTAGCCAATCAGTGATTCTCTCTCGACATTGATGTTTCTATCTCTCCCTCTCCCTTCCTCTCTGAAATAAAAATACATTTTTAAAAAAGAAGAGAAAAAAGAAACTGCATTCTTAAAAAAAAAAAAAAGACTATTCTCCAATGTTATCCTCCCTCCCCATTCCCTTCAATTCCCCATTGCTGTGCGAGACTGTGATTTCCATGGTGATAGGACCGCCAGTTGAGCTTGACTCTCGCTGGTTTATCTGGTCAGAGGACAGTTGGGGGCTGTGCTTCCAGGTGAGCTGAGCTCTGAGTGGGGCTTTCCAGGGAGTTGCCTTAAAGCAGTGATGTGAGCAGTGCTACATGGCTGTAAGGAAAGCACACTAAGCTTCATGCAGAAAAGCCCACGCTTGCCCCTGTTATTTCTTGAAAGAGCCCTAGCCCTCTCCTCCCCTCTGCTACCCCAAGTTCTCAAATTTGTGGTAGGAGTCACCCATTCCCAGCCTAACCATCTCCTTTCCTCCCTGTACTTAGCTTGCTTTAGGCCATAGAAGGGACTTTGTTTCTCCCTGGATTTTGTTATTCTTGATAACAAATTGTTTCTCCTCTCATTCTCTTTTCTTCCCTCTTTCTCCCCCCCTCCCCAGAGAGTTTTCAACGTCCTTTATCCCATGCCTGCTGACCAGCGGAGACATGTCAGCATCAACTCTGCCCGCTGGCTGCCTGAGCCTGGGCTCGGCCTGGCCTATGGCACCAACAAGGGAGACCTGGTGATCTGCCGACCAGAGTGAGTGGTTCGGGGGCTGGTGGGGTGGGTGTGGAGGGGTCATCTGGGCTGGGGGCTGGAATACTCAGCATTCACCTATGGATGTAGCTGGTGAGGGGGGTCTTTTAGAGGAGAAGTTTAAATTCTGCTAGAGCCTGCCTCGTTCTCATTGTCACTCCTTAAAAGGTCCTTTTCACTCAACAGATGGTAGGGTTAGCTCTCCATTTCAGAAATCTTCAAAAGACTGGTTTAGTTATTTTGTCTCTTAAATCTAAAGCAGTATGTTTTGTTTGTTTTCCCTTGTTCTCCAGTTCTCTAGTGATAATAAAAGTTTCTCTGCAGTCAAAAGCATAGATATCAAATATTCTTTTCTAAAACCTTTTTGAAATAGTCAATAGGTAATCTTAGGTATGTGTAAAATGCCTTAGAAATGAACTTAAGAAATAAAATTGGGAATAAGGTGTTGTTAAAGCCCTAATTTTTAATATATTTTTATTGATTTTAGAGGAAGAGAGAAGGAGAGAGAAAGAGAAACATCAGTGATAAAAGAGAATCACTGATTGGCTACCTCCTGCACCCCCACACTGGAGATTGAACCCGAGACCCTTCAGTCCACAGGCTGACGCTCTTTCCACTGAGCCAAACTGGCTAGGGCTAAAGCCCTAATTTGTCAAGCCACTGATCTCTAACCACCTGGCTCTCTCTGTGTCCTGCCTGTTTTCCTTTCTGCTGGAGGCTCTGGCTCATAATAGAAAAGGCAGATTGAAAAGCTCCATTTAAAAATTGAAATGGCCCTGGCCTGTGTTCTCAGTGGTTGGAGCATCATCCCACACACTGAAGGGTCTCAGGTTTGATTCCTGGTCAAGAGCATGTACCTGGGTTGCAGGTTCCATCCCTGGCACTGGTCGGGGCACATGTGGGAGGCAACCAATCAATATGTCTCTCTTACATTGATGTTTCTCTCTCTCTCTGTCCTACCCCCTCCTCCCTCCCTCCCTCCCTTCCTTCCACTCTCTCTAAAAATCATTGGAAAAAATATCCTCGGGTGAGGATTAACAACAAAAATTGAAATGATTATTATCTGGTCTTGGAATGGGGGGGTAGGAGGAGACACCAACCAAAGCATTTCTGTGTTCAGTCCTGATGACTCTCCTTCCCCTTCCTCTGGCTTTTTGGAGGATAGAGGTCTATTTAGGCAGGACCCTGGGAGTCAGCCAGGTCTGTCATCAATTTTCATACCCATCCAGGCGTGGAGTGTGAAGCTCTGTGCTTCAGTGCAGATCAAGCTGACTGCGGTGTGGGCCGCTGCAGGTTCCAGCTGATTAAATGCCACTCCTGCTCCAGGCCGTCCTAAGGCTGCCCTTCACTAAGTATAGAGTCTCCATAGGTGTTCTACGGATCGCAGAGTACATGGGACTGTCTGCTAGGGTCTCTGGGAGTGTCCATGATGTCTTTTGCTAGGGCCCTTGATGATTTTTCCAGGGTCTGTATTTGGGTCAGTTCTTATAGCCTGGTGATTGAGCCTTTAATTGAGCTAGATTGTTGGTCCAGGAGAAAGAAAACTTGGTTCTAAGGGCAGCTCATTCCATTTGGAATTTTCAGGGCCCCTCTGAAGGACAGCTGCTGTCCAGCCAGCATGGCTCAGTGGTTGAGCATTGACCTATGAACCAGGAGGTCACGGTTCAATTCCTGGTCAGGGCACATGCCTGGGTTTCAGACCTCCTCCCTAGTAGGGGGCATGCAGGAAGCAGCCAGTTGATGGTTCTCCTTCTCCCTTCCTCTCTAAAATCAATAAAAATATACTTAAAGAAAAAAGAAAGAGAGAGGCTGCTGTCTGACCCTGACGTGGTCAAGCTGCTCTTGGAGCTGGCAGACTTCTTGGTCTGCAGGCCGTGCTCCCCTCAGGCTCTGTGTCCAGAGAGCCCCTTCCACGAGCTCCTGTGCCTTTCCGGAGCCCAGCCTGCCTGTCAGGACTGTGCCACCATCAGCCTAGGCGCTGGGTCTGTTTGTTTCTGCTCTCACCTTGGCTGCCCATAGTCCCAGGATCTGTCTGCCCCGAAATATTTATTTTTCCCAAAGTACATGAGTCTGATTATCTTATATCTTCCTCCTTTCTTCGGAATTCATAGGCATGTTTTTCAAAACGGCCCAGAATTCTGGACCTTAATTTTACTTTTACAAACACGGTAGTTACAGGCCTTTCTTTCCCTCTTTCTCCAAGACGTCCTTCCTCAGCGTTGTTGTCTTCTCTATGGATCCGCCACTAACCTTCCTCCCAGCCAGACTCCCAGCCCCCACCCCTTGTAGACGTGATCTGCTCTTACAGAGGCAGAATCTCTACCTCCAGTTAGCCGTGGCCCCCGAGGACTTTGATGTCTGAAACCCCAGCCCACGTACTTGGTGTGAGTCATAGACACCTCAGGGAAGCATGAAGCTGGCTTTGGCCTATCTTTCCTCACCATATGTCGTCTTTGGCAGCCAGAGCCTCAGCAGGCCAAAGCCATCTTGGACTGCTTGGGGAGCTCTCTTACCACCAGGAAGTGAAGCCTCTTTTATGAGCAGGGTGGCACCAGCATTTGACACAGGAAACAGCATCCCCTCACAAATGAAGTCATGTTGGACTGAGAGAGCTACCTTAGCCGGCCTATTTCAGTGTTGCTGTTTTTCCTGATTTCTTGGGTCCTGTTGGCATATGCCCCAAACCTTAGGGCTGGACATTAGGGTACATGTATATTAATACGGACGGACTTTGTCCTAAGTCACTCAAAGCTTCTCCAGTTCTAAGTCTGTGTGGTTGGTTTGCTTCAGGCAGGGAATACTGAACAGTATTCAGGTAAGGTTGAGTGAAGGCTCACCCAAGGCCTCCCAAAAGATCAGTGAAGGAATTGGGCTTCCTAACTTTCCAGTCCAGAGCTCTTATCCTGTAGCTGGTTTTTAACCTTTTTACAATAAAAAATTCCTTTAAAATTCTGATAAGCCCTGGCTGGTATGTCTAAATGGTTAGAGTGTTGGCCTATTCTTCTTCGAAGGGTTGCAGGTTCGATCCCCATATCCAGTTGGGGTGTGTGCAGGAGGCAATCAGTTGATGTGTCTCTCTTGCATCATTGTTTCTCTCTCTCTCTCTCTCTCTCTCTCTCTCTCTCTCTCTCTCTCTCGCTCTCCCTTCCCCTCCCCCCCCCCCCCACTCTCTCTGAAAATCAATGGAAAAAATATCCTCAGATAAGGATTAACAAAAAATATTTTTTTTACTGAATAAATAAAATAAAATTCTGATTAAAAGCCATGCACTCTCTTCCACAGAAAAACATACTAAAAGAACACTCATGTAACTTTGTAACTCTCTTAAGACCTCAGGGAAAGAATGCAGCTCTGGATGGGGTTGATGATAAGCATGTCGTGTGAGTGATGCGGAGAGGGCAGTCTCTCTGTGTTGTCACTATGGCTGGTCTCTGGCCTAGAATGAGGAGAACAAATACAAATGAGAATGTAGGAGCTCAGGGCTGTCGTCTCTTTACAAGGTTGCTGCCTCTCCTTGTGTGATGCAGCTCCCTGGCACACCCGTTCCCAAGGGCACAGGATCCAGCCAGCCAGCTGGGCTAAGATTACAGCCCTCCCTCCAAAACAGGTGGTTTCTGCCTTTGTCCCAGGCACAGGCAGCTGCACCTCATTTTGTGCTCTCAAGTATACTCCTGATTTCTCCTTCATTGTCTTAGCCTCAGTGCTCTCTCCAAGCACAGACGGGTCACAAGCTCCTTGGGCATCTCTTGGTACTGACACTCTCCCTGACAGTAGAAAAAGACCTAAGGAAACACTCCATCTCTCTAGGGAAAGAAATTCTTAGGACCAGTGAGGAGACAAATAACTGACCCTTCAGCCCCCATACAAAGCCATTACGGTGGCTGGTAGCCAAGGCAGTGAGGTGCTCCTTTCTCCTTGGCTTTGCTCCCCCACTGCCACTCCTCCAAGCTGCCGCTCTGCCTCTGGCTGACTGCCAGCCCAGCCAACACCCCCACCAATAACCACAGTGGGTGTGAAATACCAGATTGATGTGAGGGGGTGCTTGCTCACTTCCGGCTTCATAGATCAGCCCTACAAATGGGAGAGAGGTGCTTCTGGGAAGACCACTTCTCAGAGTCAACTCAGAAGGCAGAATTCACAGAAAAAAGTAGGCTCGGGCTGTGGGGCATCTGGCCTTTGGCTGGGTGTGGGGCTCCTGACAGGGTCCCAGCTCTGTCCCCTGAGAGGGAGCTACCACTGTAAACAGTGATTACAATCAAGCATCATTGACCACAGAGGGGAACGGCACGCCTCTGAATCAAAAGGGAAGCCACAGCCACTATCTTTCAGGCTGTCTGTCCCACAAGAGCCAGGTGCCAACTCATTCCCACGTCATGGAGACAGCAGGGATGAATGCCGGTCTCCTCAAAACGGTCCTTTTCTCCAAGGAGACAGCCATGCAACCAATAGATGAAAGAAGAGTGTTCTCAAAGGGAATATTCCCTAGAAGTTGGGAAGTTCAGAGCCAGAGTTCTTTGTGGAGCATTGTCACCACTGAGGAGGCCAGGCGGGCTCCTGGCTGTGTTCAGAAGCACAGCTTACAGACACTGCTGAAAGAAGCCGGGTGTTAAGAGGAAGTCCATCTGAAAAGGCTGACCTGACTGGCCTTGCCATTCGTCTCCATCCCTTTGTGTGTTTGCTAAGCCCCCAGGAAGAACCTGGAGCAAATAGTGACTCGTTCATCCTCATTAAGCCCCAGGGAGACGGAGGTGGTTAGGACCATTGGCACTGAAGACTGAGTTTCTGTGGCCAGAGATGTTCCTTCAACTCTGTTCCTTGGTACCTGGAATTTTCAAATCCTTGAAAATATTCAAGATCAGAATATTTGATATTGGGGAACAGATATCAGAATATTCCGTTGTAGTTGAGTTTTTCCGACCACAGAAAGGAGCCATATCAGGATTAGAAATAGACCTGTTGATGGGGACAGAAAGGCTTGGGGTGAGGGGGGAGGGTGCAGCAGTGCATCTGATGCAGTCTATCATCCTGTTCTGTTTCAGTGGCCAGAGTCCCCAGCTCTGAGCCAGATGGGTAGGAAGAGTTTAAGGGGGACCCTTTGACCATCAGCATCACACTGACAGTCCCAACTCCGAGTGGGCCTTCAGTGGTTTCTTTCCTGTGATGGAAAGGAAGGTTCTGGTACATGGTTTGATGTGAACAATTTGTTGTCAGTAACCAGCCCTGGCTGGCAGGAATTACAGAGGAAGGATTGGCAGGGGACCCACATGGTATTGCCACCTGTCAATAAATCCTGACAAGTTTGCAAATCAGAGGCTCCCTGGCAGCTGGCAGTGATGGCTTTGTTTTGGAAGGCCTCTGCTGTTGACTTGTGGCATTTGCCTTTTCCCTAATACAAGATCTGCCCCCCTCACCGTCACTCACCCATGCCCGTGGTTCTCAGACAACCCCACCAAGCAGGTGAGTGTTTGGAAAAGGGAGGAGATGCTCCATTTTAAAGGGGTTCCCAGGCCCTCTGGGGAGTTGTTGGGAGGATTACATAGAGCAGGGGAAGGAAGAGCACTTTTGGCAGGCTGGGGCACTGTCCCTCCAAAATCACTAGTGTGCCCTCAGGTGAACCCTGTCCCCAGAATCTTAGTGATCCTTTAAAGCAGTGGTTCTCCACCTTCTGTCCCTTTAAATACAGTTCTTCATATTGTGACCTAACCATAAAATTATTTTCGTTGCTACTTCATAACTGTAATGTTGCTACTGTTATGAATCGTAATGTAAATATCTTATATGCAGGATGGTCTTAGGTGACCCCTGTGAAAGGGTCGTTTGACCTCCAAAGGGGTCGCGACCCACAGGTTGAGAACCGCTGCTCTAAAGCAAGGGTGGGGAACATCCGGCCCTCGAGCTGTATAAGGCCTGAGAAATCATTTGGTCTGGCCCTGGCAAGGCATTAAGGGTGAGTTAATTAAATATAGCCCCTAATTTTTAAGTTGACAATTCTATGGCCTGTGAATGATACTATAAATATCCAAATGGCCCTTGGCAGAAAAAAGGTTCCCCACCCCTGCTCTAAAGACAGGCTTGGGGGCTCAGTGACAGGCCAGTTTCCTTTCACTGTGGAGCACAGCCTCCAACATACATTCCCTCCTCATCCAAGTCCTGTCACATCCCATATCAGGGACTGTCTAGTCCTCTTGTTTAAGAAGGAAGCATCTACATCACCCTTCACAGTCTCACCTCCTGGCCGACCCTCAGAACCTGCTGCTCCCCTTCACAATCTCACCTCCTGGCTGATCCTCAGAACCTGCTGACTAATTTGTTTCCTCTTCATGGAAGAAGTTCTGTCGTTAGAGGAAGGTGACCTGGGCCCATAGATTAAAAAGCTGGCTTTCATTGGAGATTGTCATCGTCTGCGCAGGCCTCCTTAAGAGAGTACATGGGCTGGATGGCTTAATCAATGACTGTTCCTCCTCGCAGCCTGGAGGCTGAAGCCAGCGTGGCCCATTCTGGTGAGGACCTTTCCTGAGTTGCAGAGGGTCATGTTCTCACTCTATCTTCTCATGGTGAGAAGGCCACAGTCCTGTTGTATTAGGGTCTCACATTTATGACCTTAACTAGAGGCCCGGTGCACAAATTTGTGCACAGGTGGGATCCACCTGGCTGAGGGGAGGGGCCACGGGCGGTTGGCAACTGACCCCACCCCCTTGCTGAACTCCCCTTTGAACTCCCAGTTGAGGGGATAATTTGTATATTAGCCTTTTTAAAAAAAATACATTTTTATTGATTTCAAAAAGGAAGGGTGAGGGAGAGAGAGGTGGAAACATCAATGATAAGAGAATATTCGATTGGCTGCCTCCCGCATGCCCCTCACTGGGGATCGAGCCTGCAACTCAGGCATGTGCCCTTGACCAGAATCGAACCCGGGACCCTTCAGTCCGTAGGCTGACGCTCTATCCACTGAGCAAAACCAGCTAGGGTAGCATATTAGACTTTTATTATATAGGATTACCTCCTGAAGACCCTGTCTCCAGACATAACCACATTGGGGGACCAGCTTCAACATGCAGTTCAGTCCCTAGCACTAGCAGAGCTCTTCATGCACATGGGCATGTCCTGCCCCATCTGGGATCAGAACTGGCTGTTGTGTGTAGCGTAGGATCTCTACAGGGATGCCAGACTTCTAATCAAAGGTACCTCCTTCCCAACTTCTGTCCCTCTGCTTTCACCACCCGCATCACACCTCACTCTCAGCCACAGTGACTGGTCTAGGTCAGTGGTCGGCAAACTGCGGCTCATAAGCCACATGCGGCTCTTTGGCCCCTTGAATGTGGCTCTTCCACAAAATACCGACTTCTGCGCATGGGCCATGAAGTTTCAATCGCACTGTACATGCACGCCGGCACGTGGTATTTTGTGGAAGAGCCACACTAAAGGGGCCAAAGAGCCGCATGTGGCTCGCGAGCCGCAGTTGCCGACCACGGGTCTAGGTAATACCTTCCAGGGAGGAATCAGAAAGCAAAGCAGCCCTAGCTGGTTGCTTAGTGGTTAGAGCATTGGCCTATGGACTGAAGGGTCTGGGGTTCAATTCCAGTCAAGGCTTGTACCTTGGTTGCAGGGTCAATCCCTGGCCCTAGTTGGTGTGCGTGTGGGGGGCAACCAATAGAACCTGCGCGTGGGGCGGGGGGGGCAACCAATAGAAACATCACATTGATGTTTCTCTTTGTCTCTCCCCCTCCCTTCCACTCTCTCTAAGAATTAATGGGGAAAATATCCTTGGGTGAGGATTGACAAAAAGAAAAGAAAGAAAGCAGAGCAAAGCAGTCTTGTGTGCAAGTCAATATAGAAGGATGAGAGGCCACCGCTTCCCTCTGGCAGCTGTGCCACCAGCAGTCCAGCCATCACCACCTGCGTTTCTCTCCTTCCTTCCCCATCGGAAGTTCGTGAGCAGCCTCGTGTCTCCTTCAGCTTGAGGAGCATCTTCCCCATTGCTGTCCAACCTGCCCAGGCCCAGGAGGCAGTAGGTCCAGAATAGAAAGAAATGGGGGCTCTTACAGCTCAGTGGGGGCTTTTGTCTGCTTAGGCTTCTGAGCTCCAGGCAAGTGGAGAATGCCAGGAGCCCTGTGTTCCTTCCTCCCGCCGCATGGCAGTGGGCACCTGCCCTCTGTGTGGGGCCTGTTTCTGAGCACGAAGCAGGACCTGGAGGCAGGACAGTCATGGCACCCTGTCTCTCCAGGGCCTCTCCAGCCTCCCATTTGCCATCTGAGCTCCTTTCTCTGTGTCTGAAGAGCTCTCAGAACCCAGTGCCTGCGTCTGCTGTGGCCATTTTTTTAGCTGTCTCAGCCCCAAGGTGGAGCCAGTCAGGCTTTGTCTGCGGGAAGAAGAGGCTAAAACCAGCTCTGCAGGCGTTTGCCTGAAGTGCTCCACGCTGAGCGCTGAGCGTCCCAGTGGAGTGCCTCTCGGCCCCGCCCAGGGTGAGGAAGGAGGGTTCCTGGGCCACAGTCTACGAAGCTTGGGAATTGTGAGGAGCTCTGGCTAGGCCCTCTCTAACGCCTTCCACCTTCTCCTCTGTCCTTCCCCACCGACTTCCAGGGCCTCGAACTCAGGCATTGAGTACTACTGGGACCAGCTGAACGAGACTGTCTTCACGGTCCACTCCAGCAGCCGGAGCAGTGAGAGGCCCGGGTGAGTGTCTGAAGGAGGAGGGTGCAGCCCCTGCCTCCTGCTTCTGATGGGCTCCCAAGCGATGCCCTCAGCCTGTACCCAGGGCTCTCTGGGTACCACTCAATCAGAGTGGCTCCCCTTTGATCTGCTTCATGCATTGAGCCTTTGCACGCGATTTCATTCAAGAAAATGGTGTTGCCTTAGCTGGTTTGGCTCAGTGGATTGAAGGGTCCCGGGTTCGATTCCAGTTGGGCACATGCCTGGGTTGCAAGCTTGATCCCCAGTAGCGGGTGTGCAGGAGGCAGCTGATCAATGGTTCTCTCTCATCATTGATGTTTCTATCTCTCTCTCCTTCTCCCTTCCTGTCTGAAATCAATAAAAATATATTGATGTCCATGTCTAAGAAAGAACAAAACCTCTGCTCTTAGGGTCTTGGTGTAGAACAAGCTAGGACACCTTCTGGTCCTCTCCCATCTTGTGGTGAGGGGAGAAGCCAGGGCACTGGAGAGGGAGCCTGTCCCTAGGACGCGTGCTCATGTCCTCAGGGAGAATCTGTCAGTGATCTCCCAGGTGACTAGGGCCTCCAGGACCAAGCTGCCCAGAGCTGCAGTCCAGGGTCCATTTAGAGAGTAGAAACCTGGTACTAACCCTCTTATCATTTAACTCACTAATGAAGATGAATATTTTGAGAAAACAAAGGTAAGCACTGTTTCCTAGAGGGCCCAGCTGCAGAAATCGTCCCCAGAAACAGCTAGAAATATGAGTGACCCTCTCAGAAGTCCTGGGCTTCCTCTGCTGCCAGCTAGCCACCCCAAGGCTCAGAGCCTGGAAATGCCCAAGGGGAGAGGGTGCTGGCCTTGGGCCCGGGCCTTTCTCATAGGGCAGCTTTTCAGAAGGCCCTAAAGGGTCCCAGAACAGCTTCATACGAGTCTGGGTACTTTTCCTCCACAGTGGAGATCCAGTGGAAACTCCGGATGTAAACTGGAACCTTGTCAACATATAGAAGGAAGGAAATGCTAAAGAAAGAAAGGTCCTTCTACTGCTCACTGTTTGTCCCATGGATCTCAGTTAGGGGCTTCCTGTATCTAAAAAAGTCTTTTACGTTAGCCATCTCTACCTCATCAGAAAGTCCCCTTTGTTTAAGGGAGTGGCTGAACCAGCTGGGCTTGCAAAATTGGATGGCTCTGTGGCCGCCTTTCCTTGTCTCGGGCATGGACTGATAGGAAGGAGAAGGGACACAGGCAAGTTCACTGGGATGGGAGGTAGCTGTGGGCGGGCAGGGCTGCTGCTTAGCCTGCAGCCCTGGTCAAGCCTGTGCCCGAGGCTTGGCATGGAGCCAGCAGAGCTCTGAGGGGTGCTGTCCCAAGCCCTGCCTGATTTCAGTCCACTTTTCTCTCCCTAGAACCAGCAGAGCCACATGGAGGACAGACAGAGACATGGGTCTGATGAATGCAATTGGGTTGCAGCCCCGGAACCCCACCACCTCAGTGACGTCTCAGGGCACCCAGACTCTGGCCCTTCAGCTGCAGAATGCGGAAACACAGACGGAGAGGGAGATACAGGAGCCAGGGACAGCAGCCTCGGGTCCCGGGGAAGGTGAGAGCCCTGTGATGCTAGTGGGCAAATATGGCAGGGGGCGGGGAGGGGAGTGAGCGGGGACCATCATCAAGGCTCCTGGCTCCTCCACACGGATGGTGACAGGTACTGAGAGAATGCACTCCAGTCAGGATGAGCACCCTTCCCTCTTTGGGGAGTGCCCTCTTGGTGGCATTAACCACCTCCTCAGACAGGAACCTCATCTCCTTCATCTGTCACTGATTCCAGCAAGTGGAGCTGCTCTTCCCGCTTTCCCCCAAGTGCCCTCTCCTCCAAAACTTGGAGGACAGAGGCTGTGCTTAGAGAAAGGGCAGGACGTAGCTGGATGGGAAAGGCTGCGAGAGACCTCTTGCTGTCGGCTTCCAGGGCCTCCCACAGGGAGCCTGTCCCCCTGCAACTGTGCTCCTCTTACACCCGTGGATCACTGCCATTTGGGTGCAGCCCAGCACACCCTCAGCCCCTTCCTGTCACCTATCTCAGGTGCAGCTCAGCCAGCCTCCCTGGCAGTCTGT